TTATATAATCTTTTATTATATAAACCTAAAGAAGCATTTAACCATCCTATTACTACACTGTTTATATTCAACAATAAAATTTTACTTAAATTATTTTCTTTTCCATCTGGATGTTTTAAGCAATACTCTGCTAAATAAGAAAACAAAAATTTTTTTCCCACCCTCATCTGATGATCTCTAAAAAAATAAGTGTGCAAAACAAGGCATAAAATAGTATTAAATTTTCTTGGATTTAAATCTAATTTGAAGTCTCCTTTTTTTCAAATCATAATTATTACTGTACCAGAGAGTACTGTTACGCCTAACTATTCCTTGCATGGAAGAGGTCTGGTGCATCGTGAATGTCTATTTTCCCGAACATTCACAGACTAAATTTGGGATTGAAAACCCCCGCCTGTTTTTGTTTTTTCTTGTCTCCAAAATTAATTAATTATTGAGGGTATTTAATTACTCAAAACAAAGTAATTAAAGCCCACACAACATGAGGCTAAGTGGCCATTCCGCTGAGCCCCGCACTTTGGATACCGTAGGTCCTGCAAAACTACAGTGTAAATGAAAACATTTGCGAACATGTAAATTTATGGGACAACACGCGTGTTTGTTGGACATACGTATTCCTGGCCCTTTTCTGATTGGCCAGTTGTTAAGTTTGATTGACACTCCGCAAAGGTCTAATAGGTTCGGGAACAAGACAGAGTGGCAATGGATAGATGACCATCTAAGATCTTGCACCCATTTTGCCTGTTCTCCTCAGTAGTTAAGTTGATAATAAATGTACATTTAAGTATTATTAAACAAAAAAAAAATAAAATAAAATGAAATAACCTTTATAAATATAATAAATGAAATGCAGAAAAGGCTATTTGCTCTTTGCAAGTGGAAATGGCATTGCTCTCTGAGATGGATACTGTAAATACCCCTTAGAAGATGCCATTATTAGCATTATTATTATTATTATTATTAATACTTTGTTTAATAAGTGAAACAAAAGGACAATGAGTTGACTGAATCCCTTTTATGTCTGAACATTACATTTATACGTAGTTTTGAGTAAAAAAAAAAAGGTTTTAATAAGTGAAACAAAAAGACAATGAGATGACTGATCCCTTTATGTTCGAACAAATACTCTCAGTATCAGATGATAGCTATTAGCCTATTTCAAGGTTATGCTATATTAGTTACACTTTACCTTGAACTTCCAGCCTACATGAATGATGCGAGATTGGGGAAAAAACATTATTAATCAGGTACTGTACTATACTGGTAGTTGGTAGTTTTCTTGAAGATTATGGACCTGTTAGTACAATACTATCGCATCAGAAAAACCCACAGTAAAGCCCTATCTAGACTATATCAAAGACAAAAACAAATATGGTCATGATGACATCACATCATGGCCATATATAGGCACATCATGGCTATGGCATGCAACACTTTTGTTTGTCCAATGAAATTTGATAGTCTGGACAGACCTTTAATTATGAAAATAATTTGACAAAGGTATCATCTTTCAATGATTTGTGGTAACATCTGATTGTCTACTGTATACAGTATATACCTCTAGATGTTTATCATGATCTTTTTTGTACTTACTGTAGTCATATTTGGCGCTACAAAAAAATATTAGTTTATCACCCTACCTAGGCTGGACAAGTGACAAGGGAGGGAGGCTTACGTTTTGAACGTAGCTACGAACCACTACGAAGGTCAATGTTATTTTAATTAGCTTTGCAATGATCATAGGCTGGATCGTCTGGCTGATAAACAATGCATAAACAATATTGAAATATAGTTTACCAGCTTTCAGCACGTGAACAATGTTGCAATTTACTAATAAACAATGTTAGAACTTTATTGTTATGTTATATCCTACCTTATTATTAGATCGATCACGTTTATAAAACTGTGTTTAGTTTGCTAGCTAGGTAACCTAGTAGGCATTCAGTATGTTCGAATTTCGATGTTATTTAGGCCTATGTACGGCCTACATTTTCCCCTATAGAGGAGGAGAGCAGACAGTAATTATACTGGTTAACTTTCTAATTCGGAGAATTTTGATCTGATATTATTGTTCTGGTAGTAGGAATTTTCTTTTTTTAAATAATAATACTGATGACAAATATCGTCGCTCACACCACGAACTAACACAATTAAATTCAATTGTGTTAGTTCGTGAAATCAAAAAAGCGCGTCAAAATACGCGCTATTGTCGTTAAGGACTTTTTGTGTGGTAAAGAATACAAAATTGTTTGACAACCAATACGCACTCGTTTTGACGCGCTACTTTGATTTCACGAACTAACACAATCTACTTTGGTTGTGTTAGTTCGTGATGTGAGCGACGATATGTACAAATTATTAAGATTTCTACAGATCACATTGTTTATAGTTTACCGTAATTTGAAGTTGAACCTGCAAAGCGATCCAATACTAAATGGAAGTATAGAAATCACTACCTTGCCGAATTAAGGCTAGTCATGCTAGACCGCATTTACTTCATTTTTTACTCACTCGCTCACAGCTCTTCAAAATTAAACACTATCTAATTCAAAGGGTTGTATCTGAAGAAAACTAAGGGCAGGTGGGTGATAACATTTGTAAACTCTAAATTACAAGAGTTGATTTTAAGAATGGGCAAAGGGATTTATAAAGGTGGGTGGAGGAGCCTTGAATGAGGCTTCAGAATGGATGGAAATTAGAACTTCAATGCTGGATGGCCCCGCGCACCATAGTTATATCCCTGATTACAGCAAAATAGTAGCAGAGCAGTAAACTGAACAGGCAGATTTTGCAATAATATACTATAATAAATACCCTAGAAAAAATTCCACTGTACTTTTTTATTAGGACAACTGTGGTAAACTGAAAAATTAAAATCTGTATCCAAACCAACAAACAGAAGGCCTACAGTATCAATACAACATATTAAGTTATTAATTAACATATTAAGAGCAACTTTAAGCCTTAATTTCAATAACAATTCATATTTTTAATCTGCCTTTGACTTCATTTCATAGATAGGGTAACAAGATGCACTCAACTCCCTGTAGGCTAACCATCTCTTTTTAACAGAAACAGCTGGAAAATTTTCTATACAGCAGCCAAAAAAAAGAATAACAAATTTAACTAGGTTGTCGGTCAATTTCCATCTATAATGATACACTCGCGAGTTGTGTATGATATAAAAATTAATGAGGCATTTACAGCAGACTCAGTTTGTTGATAGTACAGTACACAATGTGCCATACATTTATTAATGTTTCTTTATTAAGTGACGTCCAGATTATCTAATTTTCTTCGACAAAAAACTGCTACATGCCCATATATAGTCATGATGTGCCCATATATATAGTCATGATGTGTCTATATATGGTCATGATGTGATGTCATCATGGCCATATTTAGGCATGTCACATGTTTTTGTCAAATAAAAATTGGAGTCTGGACTGGACTTTATTTAGGGTAGAATGCTTCACTTCACACACAACACAATGTCACTGTGCCAATCAAAGTAACAACAATAACAATTTTCAATTTGGCATCATGCTCTTAAAAATATAGTCAACTGACCGGTTATTATATTCATAAAATGAGCGAATTCAATCAAAATATGTAATCAAATTACAAACGTTCAAAATTCAAATTATGCTTCTAATATCAAATTGCCTTGTCAAATATCCATTTAAAAATTAATGTGCGCTATATAAATCCTATGAAATATTAATAAATTTAATAGTTAACAATAAAAAAAATATATGGCCTTAAAAAATGGTTTTCGACATACTGTAGAAAATACATTATATTTTTAAAATCTGTTATTTTAAATTGTTTATACTCATGATTAACACTTTATATCTTGGACTGAAGTATTAAATCTTAAATTTTGTACCTTGTCTTTAATAAAATGTGTTGTGTGGAAAGTAAAGACATTTTATGGGACTTTCTTATGGCAAATCTACTTAAACTGCTAACTACAGTAGTTCTACCCAAGAACCCTGTCCAATCTGATAAAAAATTCTGTCAAATTTTGGTGAGTAGCTTTTTACTTGATGGATGAGTACCCTATAATAAGCATTCATCATTCCTCTTCTCTACTGTTTCTGTTCGAAATATTATTATTAGAACCAAAAACATACATACTTTACAATTACATTAAAACCATGATGCTTCAGTCGTAGAATCTACGCAACTGGAGGAATAGGATGTAAACAAAAAATAGATCCAGTGATACTACAAAGCGGACATCACTGTACCATGTTACACTACTTTGTTACTGATTACCATTCCCCAAGCGGTCATTACGGCTTAGTACCTATGAGGAGTCCTCCAGAAACCTCCTGCTTTTAGACAAGCTAAAATATCTCAAAATTCTAACATATCTCCTGCAAATTAAGAATGCTTGCATGTTTTTAGCAACCTGTATTTTCTTGAAGTCAGCTGGCTACGGGCTTCACCATGAGCAAAGAAAAATACAATTTGTTAAAAAGGCTCATTACTGTATTTCCATGAAGAATCTTTGTCCAATTATGGAACTCCTGCACATTTCATTTAAAACAATTAAAATACAGCAAGTATATTAACAAGAAAAAAAGTATTAGGAAACAAGTCCTGTGTTGGGAACATGAGAATAAAAAAATATGAGTAAATAAAGAGAGTACAGTAAAATTGGATCAAGTGAAATTGAGTGACCGTGGATATGCACGGCCATCCCATGGAAAAACAACGCAAGCTTTTATATTTTTGTGCAGTTGCGTTGTTTTACCTCAGCCATCCCATGGCAAAACAATGTAACTGCTGTTATATTGCTCTGCAGTTGCGTTGTTTACCTTGGAACGGCCGGGCAGCTGAGGCCAAATATCTTTTCAATATCATATCCCCACCCCCTTGATGAAGATACTATGTTTAGCCTCAGCTGCATCCCTGCAGTCCATGGATCACAGTTGATTCTCAAAATTATTATTAATTGTTTTTTGCTTGGCAACAAGAATAGGCCTACTTACCAGGGCTTTCTACTCTTTTGTAATGGTAAGGATTTATACACACTTCCTTCTGTTTTTTGCCAAAGGCGTATTCACAGCAATCCAGAGCTTTCAGTTCGTGGTGACTCTGCAAGTCGGGCCATCTCCATACACGGCAATATATAACATGTGGTAATCCTTTTCTGTGAGAAACTTGCAGCCTACCATCCAAAGAACGTGGTATTGTCACACATTTACTGGGCTCGCCCGGCCGACTTAGTGCCCGCTCTAAATCCTCCATAGCTCCTTTCTTTTTCTTAAGTTTTTTTACTAAAGAATCAACAGCCTTTTCGGCCCATTTTTCCTCTTCGTCCCCCTGTTTCCAACCCAGGAGTCTCTTTACAACTGGGCTGGTGAAAGAAAATAAACTCGCCATCGTCATAATTATCTGCCCATGAAAATTAGAGAATTTTTTTTATGCTCTATAGAAGCACAAGTCAAGCAATGAACCTGAAAAATAAAAAGAAAATACATAATTAATGAAACTGTAGTACCTATGTAATAGTAAAATATTTAATATAAAAATTATTAATTTAGTAAAAGCCAAAATATATATACTATATAAATATACTTATAAAGCACACATATTCACTGTATATAAATTAAAATTAATTTAATTAATAATGGTCAAGTAGAACAATAATATTATAATTTGCTAGAGATGATAAAAAGAGGATAAAATTGTAATTATATATATTTTTTACAATGGGCAACCAAATCACAAGTTTTTATTAACACCTGGGATATAAAACTAAAGAATAAAAATTCTGCAAAAATTCAGTATGAAAATTGGTTTGAAGAAGTGCGATTCATGGTATATTAAAATTGCCAATAAATAAATAATTAGGACTAGACCTATAACAGTAAAGTACTAATAATATTGCTAAGGAATATGTAATAAATAACAAGCCTAGCTAAACGATGTGTGTTGTTGACACGTCAATAACCCACCCTAGCCCTGCCTTGGCACCTGTCTCTTATACACATCTAGATGTGTATAAGAGACAGCTTCTCTACTGTTTCTGTTCGAAATATTATTATTAGAACCAAAAACATACATACTTTACAATTACATTAAAACCATGAGTTCAAAATCACCGATGCATGACTGTCGTAAATCAGTGGCGTACGCTAATCTGGGGTCTGTTGCTGGATTACCGTACGCAAGTGATTGCGCGATAATACTGGCGTTCGCTACGCCGCGGACAAGTTCACACCACTCGTTTATTAACGTTACGCTAGCGTAAGTCGTTGTGTCTGAACATAGCCAAAATAAGCCTTTCCCTAGCTAGTGCTGTTCGTACAAAAAAACAAACCATACCGAAAACAGGTCAGTAGGAGCGACTCAATCACAGATCATTCATAAACAATGCAGTCATAATGTCATATTATGATTAAAATGTTCAATACTATACTAAAGACAGAGCCCAAAACGGCGCGCTAGGCTTTACATTTACTATGCTATATTCACATTTCCAAAACATCCATCTAGCCTAGGCCCTATGGCATTTCGAATCCGTCCGAGCGACTAAACTATCCTAGGCCTAGCAATCGGGGTCCACCGCAATCGGCTGGCCTAGCATAGGCTACCACAATATTGCATTTTTGCAAAATTTGAAGAAACGCATGTGGAGCGAGGTTTCCAAATGTTCACAGCTACATAACATACCTGATATACAGTCAAATATTATTGGAAAGATCCAACAACAACCCTGTATCGAGACATCAAACTATCGATGAGAAGTTGTTTTTTCTTGTTCAAATTATACGATTTTTTTTATCTTCAGTTTGTCCAAAATTCTAGGCCAAAATTGTTGAGACTCACTGGCGACGAAGGCAACGGAGTGTGGGGAGGTTGGCTAAGGATACTTTCACTGGCCAGTAGCGGTGCAGTATAATTATTCTATTCACATACCATATTAATCCGCACAAGCAGAAGTTTCATTAATTACTCGTTAAATATCCACGAATATATTTCGGAAATAACAAAAAGAAGTAGTAGTTATATACTTTCAGTAACACAGAATGTGAATAGTTATGTTTTACACAAAGTCCTATATGATCTTTATATAGAACTACTTTATACAAGTATGTTATGGGCTTGACCTACGCGATACCCACGAAGCTGACGTCATTAACAGGCGGCGTCTGGACGACGGAGGCACACAGTGTGAGACGAAGAGCCAGAGGGACTGTTGGACTTAAGTTTAATATAAAAGAACTAAGTTAACGCCTTTTGTAAAGAAAACGCAATTCTTTATTGCATTTCGCGCCTAGGATGAGAACCTCAAGTCTTGCACTTAACCTGTGATATTCTTTGAATTCAAAGAAAAATAACAGAACAGACACTTATGGAGGGAAAAAAAATAAAAGACATTCCAGAATCATTTTTACGTCATTAAAGTTATGCCTATAACAGAGTTAGCGTACAAAACGGTTTTGTAGAACCATAAATATGTAGGCCTATATATAATCTAATTTCACAACTAAATAACAATGTAACTTTGCGGCAACGGCGTGTAATTAACTTTTTATTAAACAATTGTGAGCAAAAATAGAACTACAAACGTGGCCTCTACTAAAGGGACATGCACAAACAAATCATAGGCCCTATTAACAATTAAAATTTGAATGAAAACAATTTTTCCCGTCATTTAGTGGAAAGTTCAATAATCAATTTGTTGTATGGTTTTGCATAGAACCTGAAAATGCCTGGTAATCAATTTTACGATTTTGTTGCCAAAAAAATTAAAAAAAAGTTCCGATCTGTTTCAGGTACGGAAAGTTGCTCCGAATACTGAGAGGGAGACGTTTCGACCTAAGGCAATGATGGAATTTTAAAAATTATTTTATCATTTTTCTGTTAGGCCTACCTAAAATGATTCTTCCCTATTCTTTCTTCTTCCTTTATGTTATTATGCAACCCAAGCATGACAAAAATAATTTAACAGGTTACATTGATAATTAGAGATGTAGGCCTTGTCCCCCATGCAAAATGCCAAAACGAATTATAAAAATAATTTGAACTTAATAATTATCAACTTGAACATAAAAATTGGTGTATTAAAAAAATGATAGAAATATGTAATTGGAAGTGTTTTACTGTTTCTATTATCATTATCTAGTCTAAATTAAAAAATCAGTGTAGGCCTACACATAAATTCAATAATTTCTGCTCAAGTTAATTTGTATGTAGGCTAATATGCAAGTTAAATTTAAAAATTATTTTTTTAATGATTTATTTTGCCATTTTCAGGGTACAAGACAATATTTTCTATAAATCTGTTCGGAGTGTTTCTGATCTCAGCCATTGTTAAGATAATATATGTTATACTTCCACTAATCATGGAGGTATAAAAAAGAACATTAAAAAAGAACATAAAAACGAAGAGATTCTTTTTTCGAAACACTGATTTGTTGATTATAGTCAATAGGCCTCGATCCGAGTAACGAAATCGACGGGAAATTTACCGACAAATATCCTCTTCTGGTCGTTAGTTTCATTGCCACTTAGATTTATGCCAATTGTATTTCATTCATTAAAATTATGATTACAGTATGCAAATTGAAAATTCACAGAAGAAAAATAGAATACATTATTCTGACTAATGAACATTTTATACATTTGCACACTCCACTCCAGGGAAATTAGAACGAATGATGCCATCAATGTTGCCACGTTAAGGATTTTGACTATAAAAGTGAGAAATGTGTCGAACACAGATTGGGCGTGTTTTATCAATAAAAAGTAAAAGGTCCATGGTGACATAATGGTGGTATTCAATCTCTCAGCGAGAATTAAGTGGAATTATTATAGAAAATAACTTTAATTCAATAAACATGCAGTACTTTTGATAAAAGGAACTTTTTTAGAAAACACCATGGGTATCATGATTTGAAATGACATGGGAGGGGACAAAGCCCAAACAGATTATTAAAATTGATGTCTAAACAGTTAATTAATGGCTATTATTGTTTATTGCAATTGTTAATTATTGGATTATAGAAAGAGGCCTAGAGATAGATTTCATTCTTATAAAAATTGCATTTTCAAAAGGGAGCTCAGCCCCGGTGACGTGGGTTCAACTTTGGCATAGGAAATGGGAAAAAAGATGGGATACCGTACGGTAATAATTGCAAGTGTCGAAAAACAGTGTCTCGAAAGACGATAATCGGTAGGATTATTGCAAAGTTTATGTACAAATGCTTTACTCGGATTTGAACCTGAGAACTGTAAGGAAATCTGAACCACCAAAACTTAGAGCTACAATATTTAGTTTAAAAAAAAAATATATTAAAGCAGTTTGCCTCAACGTAAGTTTTTGAGTACTGTACATGTAATAGGCCTACATAAGGTCCTAATAAAAAATACAATAGGCCTTGTCAGATATTTTGCGCGGCATGGATCGCGTATTAAAGCATTAGTTTGCCAAAAAACGGCCTTCTCAGCATCATAAACATTCGTAAGTTGCATCATTTTGGAATGCATGGCCGGCGGAACCTTTTGGTAAAAAAAATACAATGTCTATATGCATATTTTTTTATGATCGTCTTCCTCGCAATTCATATTCCCATCTTACTAGTCCCCCCACCCTCCCACTTTGAAAAACGTTCTGCCGGCCCTGGAAGGTTTTATTAGAATCGGTTTTGTTAAAGAATCAACTTACAATATATAGGCCAATCACGTTAAATATAAATAATTGATTTGACCGTCTGCTGTCGTAATTTATAGCCTATTTTTGAAGTATTATTATTAATTTTTTAGAATTGAGTTTCAACGACACAAATTGTCCAGATTTTAGTTGAATTCAAGGTTTAAATTATAGTCTCCAGTCTTGAGTACCTAAATATTAAATTTCATGTTAAACTCCGTGTTATTAGCCTACTTAAGATGATGCTGAGCATCATTATGCCGCGCCCACTTGTAGGCCTATAACAAGTTCATCAAAATCTACAGTTAGCATTAACAAAATATCAGACGTGGCGCTAGTGGGGGAGGGCCCCGATCAGGGAGAGATCCCTCACCACCCCCTCCTCCTCCCGTTGAGAACATCAAAATTATATTATGTATTTTTTTTTACATATGTAGGCTCTGAAATCGATTAAATAAGCCATTAAAACTGGTAAATTGTCATAGTTTCCGGGGAATAGGCCTACGCACCCTGGGAGACCACGCCCACTTACGTTCTCGATCGTCGATGTCCACCCCTCCCTCGCCGTCGGGGGAATTCAGACATCCGTCGGGAAAATCCCTGGAATAACTTTGTTTCAAAATGATTTATATGAAGAGAGTGTCCGACAGCTAAACTGGTGGTCCTGTGTGTGCACTGAACCATGGAGTTCCTTCTAGATATTAGTTCCTGGTTCGATTCCAACGCTGCTCTAATTGTGTTTCTGCTGATGGACTGAAATGCAAGTTACATTTACAATAGCACACCGTCTTTTTGATAAACGTTAAGCCGATAGCCGTTGAGTGTTACGTCACTGATTGACTCATGGTTTACCGTCTAATTCACCATAAGAAGGACCTCACTGAGAGAAGTCTATAGACTATTGTAGGTTATTCCAATCTTGGTGTGCTTTACACCAAAAAAAAGTCCGATTAAAGTCCAAGTAAAATCAAAGTAAAGTCCAAGTGGTACACCAAAAAAGTCCAAGTGAAGTCCAATTAAAGTCCAAGCAAAGTCAAAGTAATGTCAAAGTAAAATCAAAGTAAAGTTCAAGTAAAGTCCAAGTAAAATCAAAGTAAAGTCAAAGATAAGTGAAAATAAAATCAAAATAAAGTCAAAGTTAATTTAAAGTAAAGTCAAAGTAAAATCAAAATAAAGTAAGTCTATAGACTATTGTAGGTTATTCCAATCTTGGTGTGCTTTACACCAAAAAAAAGTCCGATTAAAGTCCAAGTAAAATCAAAGTAAAGTCCAAGTGGTACACCAAAAAAGTCCAAGTGAAGTCCAATTAAAGTCCAAGCAAAGTCAAAGTAATGTCAAAGTAAAATCAAAGTAAAGTTCAAGTAAAGTCCAAGTAAAATCAAAGTAAAGTCAAAGATAAGTGAAAATAAAATCAAAATAAAGTCAAAGTTAATTTAAAGTAAAGTCAAAGTAAAATCAAAATAAAGTCAAAGTAAAGTCAAATTAAAGTAAAAATAAAATCAAAATAAAGTCAAAGTTAATTCAAAGTAAAGTCAAAATAAAGTCAAAGTAAAGTCAAAGTAAAATCAAAGTAAAGTCAAAATAAACATTCTTTTTCTTGCATCAATATTTATTGTATTTCTTAAAACGACTTTAGAATTTTATATAATAAAATTGTGTTATTAATTTCAGCCATTGGTTGCTTGTTTTGTACCTTTTTCATAGAAAATAAACAAATATGTATCACTCATATATATAAAAAATTATGTTTGATATATATGCATATTATATTCTACATAATATATTTCATAATCCTATACTATTCTAAAATTAATGACCATTCTTAGAAGAGGGTTTATAAACTCTGTATGAGGCTCAGGGACTGGAGCTGTTTTTTAGTTGTGAAAAAAATCTTAGAACAATGACATTGGTAAGCAATACGGCTGTATCTTGGAGTCTTGAAATGGGGGAGGGGGTCGTTTTTACCTACAGTATTGAGAGTAATTTTGTTGCTTCAAACATTCTGAGTGGTGGGCTGGGGGTGGGGGTTTGGGGGGGGGGGGGGGGTTTGGGGGGTGGTTGGTGGCGTGGTGCAAGCTTATTAGGGGTAAACTCTACATACGCCACTGGGAAGAAATCATATTAAATGCCAAGATACAGTTCAGTACATGCTTTCCAATACCAGATTCCAAAAATTTTCAGAATTAATATATTTTTCATCAATTAAAAACAACTCCAAGCTTACATTATCACGCCTCACATTTTCGCACTCATAATTTGAAAATTGCCTGATCCAAAACAATATTCAAAATCAATAGAATTTATGTACGCCTTCAGGCTGAATTATTAAAAAAAAAAAGCAATTTAAACACTCAAAATTAGCAATATATATATTACTGCCTGAAGGGCATTGCACAGAACAGACAATTTGATCAAACTTTCATTTTATCTTCACATTAAGTAAATAGACATAATACATCTTATTGATTGACAGTGTAAACCAATCAAAAAAATGACAACCTGCTCAATAAATCATGATTACGTTTAGAAATGTGTCCAATAAAAGATGCAATTTATCATCAACTGGCACATATGTAATATGTTACCGTGTGTCTCTTATCTCGGAGGACTCGGGTATATTTGATAAGTACATAGGTCAATTATCAAAAAAAATCTTATTTGAAGAGAGTTAAACGAGAAAAAATAGGTTAAATAATGAAAAAAATGTAAGCATGTGTTTATTCATGATGGTACGTTGCTCGAGTCATCTTTTTATCATCATGTGGGGAGTGCCTAAATTTGCGCATTATTTCAATTTTCAACTTGGCACACTTGTAGATGTGACGCCAGTCTTGACGGCTGATGTTATTCCCGCTTGCTCTTGTCGTTTATTTTCCACGCACCAATCAAATAACGGAGACGTATTAGTAAAATGTCTTTGCCCATCTGTATCCAACTGAAGACAGGGACCATTTTCGATCCTATGATAATATAAGAAAAAATAATTGACACGATTTAAAGGCCTGTTTATACTTGCAACAATAACGACAACGATAAAAAGCTAAAAAACAATTGTTCACATAGAAAATAAAAGAAGTAAGAGAAGTTTTTCCACTAGGACAATTCAATAACGATTTATCGTGTATACGATAACTAAATATTTTGACAAATTAATTCAAATGACGTCATAATCATGGAAAAATGATAAAAAATGTTTGGGTATGCTTACAAATACAACACTATTACCTCCTAATCTTATGCACTGAGCAGTTTTGAAATTTATGTTAACTCATTTAAAATGATTTTATCGTTTTATCAAAACGTCCTAGTGTAAAAACTTCTCTTATTTCTTTTATTTTCTATATCTAAAATTGCTTATAAACAGGCCTTAAAGTTGGCAAACATAGACACACTTTCCTTTGTTCAAGCCACAAAGGTAGAGGTTAGGCAACACGACAGAGTGGGGATGGATGGATGGCCCACCCTCTCTGAGGCTGATGCATGTGCCTTATAAGAAGACATCATTATATTAAAGGTTAAAGGTTATTCATTTATATTGCGCAAAATCCGAGAGTCTCTATGCGCAGAACAAGTGAGCAGATGAAACTGGGGAAAAAAAAAAAAAATTGTTATTAAATGATCTAGACACACAGTTGCAGACTCTCCAACAATATGAAGATGGCTACTTAATGGCACAGGAAGACAAATACTTATTTGTTAGTAATAATGATAGTGGCACTCTGGCTTGATGTTTTGCATTCAAATTCCAGAGTTCTGGTTCAAATCCTGTTGAGACATTTTTTTTTTCATATGACAAAAAAACTCCACTCATAAGGAAACATACTTAATAAGCATTGTTCTATTCAGCAATTGATGAAATCTTCATTGTTGCTATCTTTTAATACATTTTCGACGAGTTAACATCATTATCAAAACTGCTCAGTGTATCAGTATAAGAGTTTTTGTATTGTATTTGTAAACATATCCAAAAGACAGAACTTTGTGATCTCATAGTTAATGAATAATTTGGCGTATTCACAGAAAGTGATTTCTTTAGAATTTGTCCCAAATGATTTGTTTCTCTAAATATATTACTTTTGAGTAATAAAGCCTTTTAAAGGTATTTTTCTGTATAATCTCTGATGCAATATGTAAATACACGACAGTGATTAGCGAAATGTTGAAGTTACTAACAATTTTTCACAAAAATGTTTTTTGCCATTTAACATCTAGGTTTCATTTGTATGTATATTTTGCAAACAATAATTATTTCACTGATTGCATTGGCTTCCTAATGTTCCCTTTATACCATTATCATCCAAAATTAATTCATCTGTAATCCTACTGTAACAATGAAATTTATATATAGTATATGACCCAATTAGCTCAATGATTACTGGGTATTGTTTCCTACCAAGCAAATTGTTAATTAGTGTCAGCCAGTGCTTCACAATCATATGTTGATCACCATGCACTTATCAAATTTACCACCAGTGGCTTTGTTTTAATCCCCCAGGGAGCCACACAGATAATAGTTAACCTAGAACAGAGGGGTACAGGTCATTTGATTGAAGATCAAAATCATTACGTAGTTAATGTTGTGGAAATTTTGGCTATTCTCTCCAGCGTCAGCTAATTAGGGGGGGGGGGGGGATGTTGTATGCCCATATTTAGTCATGATGTGCCTATATATGGTCATGATGTGATGTCATCATGACCATATTTCGGCAATTCACATGTTTTTGTCAAATAAATCTGGACAGGGCTTAAAGGTCAAATGTTGCGAAGTATAACAGATAATTATACTAATAAGATAAATAATCAGATTAATGTATTTGGCTTTTATGTAATATATTCACTAGAGTAGTTGCTATATTTAGAAATGGCTCTTTTCAATTTCAATTGGTGTATCTAATTTATCTCAAAATAAACTATAGATCAATTCATCACAGAAAACCATCAGATCTTCTCCAGGATGTTTCAATTAAATTACATTTCCTAGATAAGGTTGATCAATTTAATTCCATACCACAATTAACATGAACTTAAATAATATTTTTTTTTGGTGGGGGGTGGGGGGACCACAAATAGACTGTTTCACCCTTTATAAATATGTTAAATTATTTATTTGAAATTTTGAACATTTCTATCTGCCCTCCCCGCCCCAAAAAAGCAACTAAAATTACTTCTTTTATTCTATGCAGTAAAATCATTGCCTCCCTTCCCCAGTAAAATATGTTAAAACCTATAAATTCTGAAAATGAATAAGAATTTTGAGTTTGTGTTTATAATGAGTATTATGGCTGAAGGGGGTCACATGTTCCCTAGTCTTACCCCTCACCAACTGGCCAGTTGCGTATCTATGAGACTTACAATGGGAGGTGGGGGGGGGGTGCTGAAGGGGAGCGCAAAATGTAAAACTTGTTTATAGGTGAGAATTTATACTTGATTTTTTTTTTTGGGGGGGGCGATGGGGGAAAGTACAGACACTGTCGCACTGCATACACTAACATTACATACACAGTTCAGTTTTGGAAATAATTTATGGGAATTATGATGGTATTCATTGTAAATCACTTTATTTTAAAATCTTTCATCTAAACTGATAAATGGTGGCCAAGAGCCAAACTGCATGTTTATTTACAAAACATTTAAAAACAGTAACAATTTTAAAAATCACAAAAATGAAAAAAAATTGAAAAATTGAAAAAAGAATAAAAATTTACAATAACATAAATTAAAACCAAAAATTAGAGAAAACTGAGTAGAAAAATTCATCATAAAAAGGCTAAACTGCCAGGTTTGAAACCAATCTGACTTACCAAACTTTAGTTATTGTGGTAACAAACTATTTGCCCAATAACAGCGAACAACAACATAAAATAGAACATGGCTAAAAACACAACCCTCCCTGGAGCTAATAACATGCCATTGAAGCACCAACTATACATACCATCTATCTCTTGCCAGTTGACTGCCACCTCGGCTATTGGAATGTTGAGGCACTGGGCTATGTATAGAAGCTCTACATCAAATGCCCTAAAAAGTAGAGTTACAACAGTAGTGTCAATTGTCAAGATTTAATTAGCACTAAAGTCCACTCACTAGAAGCAATGTTTGGTGATGTTGTTATGTCAGAACAACTTCTGAGATCACAGTACCACCAAATATTGCTGTGATGTCAGAAGTTGAAATATGGAGGGAAGGTGGGTTTTGTCGATGATTAAGTTAGGAGGGTGATAGTTTGTAAGATAAGGTGAGATGAGGGGGGAGATTCTTGTTTTGTTTAGGTGTGGCTTTCATGCATCCCCTAGATACACCACTGATATCTGTGATTTCCCATACAGGAGTGTGATACAACATCATCATGTTCAAGTATGGGTGCAATATATCACCATGGCCATATACGGGCCTATCACAAAAACTTGTCACAGAAAAATTTACTAGTGTGGGCAGAGCTTAATAATTAGCATTGATAAATGTGAACGAGTGTTATACACACACTTACCATCGGTTCACATGAAGACTAGTGAAGACGCGGCTGGCTGCTTTTCTGCTTAGTAGCTTGAAGCCGCACTGCGTATCTTGAATCCCTCTCACACACAGGAACCAGACAAGGAAATGGAAGCCATACATTAGGATAGTACGAAAAAATGACCGCTGAAAGAGAAAATGGAAAAGCGTTTTCATACTGTATATTGTGCGTGTGGATAACTATTGAAAATCTAGGAAGCATTTATTCGCAGTAAACATAGGCAATTTGTAGTGTGAGTTTCATATGTTACAATCAAAAATGTCGGCATTGGAAAATAGTTCAGAATATCAAAGTATGGCAAGTCGAATGGCCGAGCAGATAAGGCAGGATTTAGCTCAGTCGGCTAATCTGGTGGTAGCCACTGTGTGTGCTCTGAACTGTGGAGATCTCTAGGTCCCCTGTTCAATTTCTATTGCTGCCTCTCCATGTGTTTCAGCTGGAGGGCTGAAATACAAGTTACAATAACGCACCGTCTTTCGAATGAGACGTTTAAGCCGTTGGTCCTGTGTGCATTTATGGCCCATGTGCACTGAAAATAAGTCTTCTTCTTGACTTTTGTGGGCTATCCTTGGTGTTTACACCAAACAAATCCAATCCAATCCAAAAGCTTTCAATTGCTCGGCCAATCAGTGATTAGATTGGATCATGATTGCACAATACCAATTTTTACAACTTTTCAAGTAATGCACGAGTAACCTTTACTGAACACGCCATAGAGGCCATGCTAAATTACCTCGGCAACTGCTTCGGCCTGTAGATGAGCTCTGGAACCACACACTATCGCCATGTCATTCTGTAAAAAACAAGTTGCAAAAACGGATTTTATAAAACCTTCTGTTTCGAAAAATATTTACTAATGTTTTAAGCAGGTAGACACTAAGGGTCTGAGCACCAAACAATTTTTCTGAAGACAAAGAAGCACACCCTGTAATATTTGGAGATGATCTTACAAAATAATGGTGCGATCATTTGGATGCCGAAATCACATCACGGGCAGAGAAAAAGGAAGCCTACATCCAGCAGTGGAAAGAAAAAGGATTACAACCCTACAAGTAAGGGGATAGAGCTTACTTTTAAATTTGGAGGAATATCATAGCTTTAGAAATGTTCACTTCTCATATTAATAGCAATTACTATCAAATTTTGGCGAGTTGGATGTCCTAGTGGTTAAGGCAGGGGTGCCGCAACCTACAACAATAATATCGGCACACTCGCCTATGGCTCTGGTGGTAGAACAAGTCTTCTCGGATAAGGACTATACCGTAGCCCCAGTCCACACAATGGCTTGTGTGCACTATAAAGAAATCAGTCTATTTTTGAGAAGAGTAGGGGGTTACCCCGGTGTACTGGTTGATATACAACCCCTGTTGTGGAAAGACAAGAGATAGCTGGTACCGGTTTACTGGGTAGCTTGGACACGGCGAGACCCCTTAGGGGGGAAGAATGTTACTGTGCAAGCTAGTCCACACCTCGAGCGCTATGGGACTTCGGTATAAAGCGCTTTATAATTTAACTACCTTACATTACATTACGTTAACTTTTAATATGGAATGGGGGAGCCATTTCGACCATAAGTAAAGGTGTTACAACAATAAAGTTTAATAGTAAAACATAAACTAGACCACAAAGGCTTCATGGTTGAACAGGTCCAAATAACCGTCGGGAACATTGTATTACACAATGCTACGCCTCAAGAGGGTGTTCGGCCAGATAAATATGGCAATACGGCTAGAAATACTGTCGTATATTATATATGATATTGAAGGGAGTTAGCCGTTAACACTGTAGAATAAATATAATATAAATCATCAAAAGTACATATACAGTGTTTAAATAAGGACATGATGGAACATTCTACAGTGTTAACGGCTGACTCCCTTCAATATCATATATATTATATATATATATATATATATATCATATATATATATATATAGATATATATATATATATGATAGCTGTCTCTTATACACATCTAGATGTGTATAAGAGACAGGTGCCTTGGGAGCTTGCTTACTTGCCCAATACAAGAAT